TAAACTTAAACCATTCATTTGCAAAAAAGTTATCAGCAAGCAAACAAACATTAAATCAGATGGAGATGTGACCACAAAGTGAAAAAGTGAAATACTATTTTTTAAATATACAGCTGTAAAGTTTTTCAGAAGACAACTGCATATATGAGAAGTTTTTGTCTGGTTAAATAAAGTACCACAGCACTAAAACAAATTTTTTAAATATATTTGTAAGTATCTAATTTAAACTGTTGACTGGAACTTTGCTATTTTAGTGCATTCAGTGTTACAAGCTGTTTATCATTACATAAACTGTTCTACGGTGATTTAACTATCAGTCTCTTAATACAAGTAAGGATGAATATAGCTAAATCTTCTTTAAAGTGCATCTTCAAGGTTCTTTTAAATGGCAAAAAAACATTATCCGAGGCAAAAATTTGGTTACCTTAATGAGTCTCTAAATGCAAAGACAAAGCTATGCCTCAAAAAAGAACATAAGAGTTTTTGCATCCCAGGGGCCTACATAATTGGATACATAATTGGAGGAAAGCCTAACCAAACAGCTGCCGTTTGACTGCTGAGCTCAAAAGTGTTCAATATGTTCATAAATAGTTAAAACTTTCTGTATGTGCAGGTTGTTTTTATCTGCGCAGGCTGTGACGTTCTCCTTCAGTTATGTCACTTTCGGCTATCGTGGTAAGGGCGCCACTAGAGGCAGAGCAGTAAGCAGGGTTAGGTAACACCAGTACTAGCATCCTCACCTTTTGTTTTGAAATATGGGCCGTATTTGCACCAAAATGAAACCAAATGAAAAGTTGAGATGTTTCCAACTTTGTAATTAGCTGCTTTTGTTACAAAATCTTTTCCACATAAGAAGTCTTGCAAGTCTAGAACCACCTTTAGCCACTGTCTGTAACATGTGAAGGCATATTAGGGACATTGCAGATAGAATAAAAAAATCATGAGTAAATTTTCGACAGAAAAATTGTGAAATTTTTAGAATAATCTCAGAAATATTCTAGAAAAAAGAAAAACAGATATTTCTGAGTTTCAAAATTTGAAACTTTTGACACTCATAAATTTTCATTTTTTCTAGAAAATACCTGAGATTGATCTCAAAATTTCTGAGTTTTTTGGCAGAAATATATTCCTTTGTTTGTTATCTACAATGGCCCCAATGCTGTCGTAGGAACGAGGCAGAAAATCTTGATTTTATTATGTGGTTTTTTCCTATTTTTACCAAAAGATTTTAATAATTTATCTTACAAACATGGCATCCGTGTGTCTAAAAGTCAAAGTTGTGAGTTAAATAGGTTTCATTGTTTAAATTATAATCACAAAACATTATGAATAAAACTCACCCTTTCAAGCACTAAAACAGGGCTTGAAGGCTTGAAACTAAGAAGTTTCTCCGCTGACTATATTATTGGGTGATTCAGCCAATCTGAAATCCAGGCCCTAACGCTCCCCTCCTGGAAACGACCAATCAGGCTTTTAGCTCACAGTAATAGTACTCCACACATGGATTTAGCTCCTCCTCACAGTCCCAGATCCCAGGGAGGACCAGAGCAAAGAAAACAAGTTACCTCACACAGTCTGTAGCAGAGCATGTAACAGATGGCTTCACTGGGAATGAGGCGCTGCATCTGAAACTAGGGGACATGATGAGCGGGAAAATGAACAAGGTAAGATTGGGAGAGGGGTCAGACAAGTCGGAAAGTTTGAGGGTTTGGTTTTAAGTTATCTATGACTGACTTGTATGTCTGAGTGCGTGTTAACAGAGTGGAAGACGGATGTATGATGAGGAGTTTTCATGTGCAGCAGTGCTTCTTCAGAGTTGGGCTCTTTAGTGGTTTTACAAAACTATCATTCAGGATTTTGGGGGGTTAAAACTTGATCTGCATACCAAATTCTAGATTGCATTTTTCATTTACAGATATTTTACCTCGTCTTTTCCTCTCTCTCATTGTGTTTGTATGGGAGAAGCATTGACTTCTTGCCGCCCCTCTCTGGGAACTTGCTCAAAGTGTCGCACTTCATTAAGCTGACATTAGACGTTATGAACAGAGGGTCATGTGACATGTTCAACATTCTCACACACACTCACAATGTTTCAGCTATTGCTCATGAGCAATTTTAAGAATACACTGGAAATATTTATGAAACTGGTTATTTCAAAGGCAAACTAGTTGGTTCTGATTATTCTGAAAGTGTAAAATTTGGGTGTAGCTTTCTAATGATTTCTTCTTTTAAATTACAATGTTTTTCCATCTGGGTCAACATTTCCTTTCCAAGGGCAACAGCTGCACTACTTGGATAGAAGGCAGGTTTCTCGTCATTACCAGGGTGACCATTATATAATGAAGTTGGAGGAGTTAAGTCTTTGATTTGTAGCTAATTTGACCAATCATGTGTAATCACAGATGAGTTAAAGTAATTAGAGGGTCAATTTTAAAAGACAGGTCAGCATTACAGCATTACTCTAGGTTGGTGCTCAATTGTGACAACACTCCGTGTGTTTGCATGTACAGCTATGGTGCAAAGGTTTCCCAAAAGCAACAACACAAGTTTTGTGTGTTTGTGTCTTTGCCGCAAGTATTGATTTTTAAAGTTAAACACAAGGAAATTAGATTTTGACTCATTTATTTAACTTCATTTATTTAAAAAAAAAAGTGATGCACATAGATGCACTGAAAAATATTTTTTGCAGATTTCTGATCTCAGTTTTTGTAAGCCTTTCTAGACAGATCTGAGTTGAGCACAGTTTCTATTTGCTACATCTCTACAACAGTGGAGAAAACGGTACCTTTCAGTCTTCCGAATTATATAGATGGAGAGGTTACGTCACACTGTAAGAGTCACTGTTTCTTGCCTGGTAAAAATCAGTCCCTTGGTCTATGCTTTATTTTGTACAGTGGGTCTGGATCCTCGGCTATTGAGAAGTGATTACTTGCTGGAGAAATAGACTTTGAAGTTTTAACAACTGGATCTTATTTTACCCAATCACTAACCTATCGCCGTGACATATGTAATGCCCGTTTGATTAAGTTTAGTGTGCTGTAAACAACCTTATGGTGAGTAGGGCTACAACATCTTTGCCAGCAGTAAAATGTCTCAACCCTCCCATGGTCTTAGCGCAACGCTCAGGAAGAGCCCAGCAAATGTCATAGTTGGACAGCAGAAAGTGGAGGGGGTTGTCCCATCATACCATCAGTTCCCAAAACCACATTTAATGAAAACTCATAACCAGCCAACCCAGACTGTGCACAGAGTAAAAAGGTTGCAGAGTTCAAATGACCCCATCTCTTAAGAACACGGGAGGGTTAAGCACTCCTCTAGCTTCAACTTTAATTGGTCAATATTTGGAAGTGTGGTTAACACGGACTGAATGGTTTTGTTCACACCTTCCACTGCCATTGACAAACTACAACTAAAATGACGTGGAATAGCAACATCAATGTTCACAACTCCGAGACAGAGAACTGAAGGCACAGGAGAATCAAGAGGAAAAACTTAGGAAGGCAATGGCCAGCCCAGGGTTTTGCTGTTATATTAATGCAAGTATGAAATATTCATAGCGCACATTTCAAATGTAGTTAGTGTCTGCTACTAGCAAATAACTTTAATCAGTTCATACTGATTAAAATTGGTTTTCAAGCAATTTGCCATTTAGTTTGTTTGGTGCCACCCTATGAATGGGAGTTGTGTTCCTTTAGTTGGCACAGCCAATATAGTCAAAATCATCTGGGTTGGCTGAAAAGAGTCTCAGCAGATCCTGGTGGGCAGGTACAGCTGCAAATTTAAATTTAAAATTCACGCTATACAAGCTTAGCAGTCGAGCAGAGAGTAGCACAGACTTGGAGGTATGAATTAGGTCTTAATCCATTCTGTCAACACAAGGTCGTTTCAAGAATTTCTATACTGTCAACGTAAAAAAAAGCATCAAAACATAATGTCAGGTTGTCAAGATTTAAGCACTCACTTTCACACCCAAGCCTCATAAAAGAATGACATCTAATGCATTAAGCAACTGCATGGTGCAAAGACAGAATTCACTTTGTGGTGTTTGAATATTGCAAGATCTTGTCATACCCCAACAAGATGATGTAGATTTACAATAAAGATTTAAAAATTGTCCAAAAGATTGTCCAGAATTTGCACATAAAAAAATTATAGGGATCCTAAAAAAACTACAGTGAACCACAGCAGACCTCTGATTTTTCATGGTTCACTTATCACCTATTTATGTATTCCTCTGTGGAACATGACTCCAACTTTGGCTATTTAAAGATTTTTTAGTAGCTCATATCTACAATATTCAAAACAAAATGCATCTCGAGAAGCTGAAATATCTAGGCACAAAGCCACCTGATATGCTAATGATTGCCGTATATAAAAGCAGAAAATCCAGAAGCACCAATCACTTTCCTTGGCACTGATTGGCTGTTATCCCAAAAGCAGCTACAGAAAGATTATGAATGTTAGCTTCTGTCGTAGTCCCAAAATAGCTTCTACTGCGTTTTTAATGCATATTAAGGTACATTTTGTTTTTAAACCATTAAAGTAGGCAGTTCTAAGTATTTTTATTGGCGGGTCTCAAGTATTTCAAGAGGTTGTGATGTCTTACTCTTATCGAATACCAGGGGTCCGCTGTAACGAGTAATGACAGACTGCTTTACTAATATGTCCAATAAATTTTGGCTTCCATCCTACTTGCAACAAGAGGAAAAACAGATTCGGATTAACGGCTAGATAACATTGTCCAACCTCTCCAACCTTTCCTTTTCTGATAGCAGTTCGGTCATTTTTCTTTCGTGTGAACCCATGTGGATGAACGGACGTCAACACGCATTTTAATCAGATTGGAAAGTGGCCTTGAGGTGGAAAAGTCCCACTTTCTGAGAAAACCTGGGCAGGAAATTCAAAGAAGCGTGTCACCTTCCAGCCAGGCTTGTGGGCAGCAGGTCCCATGGAGATACTTGGTGACCAGAAATACAATGTCGAGGCTTGTGTTCGGCGTACAGTCGGTAGTCTATATTTGTAATTACGGGGTGTAACTGAGAGGTTTGATGGCACATGATGGTTGTGTTTACTTGGGACACCCTCTGGTCACTGCCAACCAGGAAGCTGAAACAGAGGCTGGTTGACGTTCCCTGGAGGCACATGCAGTTACTCTGGTTGTAGATCAACACTAGTGGCTATTCATTCCCATCTTTAAAACGGCGTGAATGAGAAGGATTTCCTTCGAACTTAGTAGAAGCTAAGAGAAGAATTTCAGATTGTTCGGACAACAGCATTACCCTGGGTAAAGTCAAATACTTACTACACATCATAGCACAGCTGGAACATTTCTAACCCTAGCACATTTATATTTGACATCATATGCATACAGAATGAAGTGTCAGTGTTGCTGTAATAAGAAATTCTCTGTATGTCCCAGCCGTGTTTGGACCAGAAGTCCTACTGGGGGAGCGGAAGTGGATCATGGCAACATGCTGACCTCACTACAGGAACAGGCAGTCTCCGTTTCCCGCACTAACTGTCCCACCCTTTGGATAAATGCAAACACACACACACACACACACACAGGCACACACACGCAGGCTGACTTCCATTTATTAATACGCACGCAAGAGGTAATGCCAACAAATGATGCAGGGACCCAGATGCTGGTGGAAGACTCTCAATGGAGGGTGGAATTCAAGCTTGCAAGAATCAACAAACACGTCAGTGAATGGCCGGCCGTGTTGTAGTGCATAAACTTAGAGGCTGGTTGAGAATGGATAACTTTGGGCGGTGGAGCTCCTTTAAAACAAATTATTCTTAAGTTTTGAGGTCATATTTTTTATCGTCACTTCAGAATCTCTGACCTGCAGATACTGATTCAGCCACTTCCGATTTCCCTATAAGAACTATAAATCAACAGTGCCCCGGGATTTTTAGTCCTTTATGACTAACTGATTGTACTACTTTATTTGCGCGCTTGTTGGAGCTCATAGGTGTGGTTTTCCTAATGTGTGCTCTCAGTTACCTTAGAAACCCACAGTCATGATAGATGATCCGACGCAAACCCCCTTTTGTCCAGACCAATGAAGTTTCAGGCTTCTTCAGTCCGTTGTCTGCATATGGGATGGAGATGAACCTCATGCAATGAGTGAAGTCTACCAGGCTTCTGGTGCAGAGGTACCTGGCAGCCCATCAAAGTCTACTATTTAGATAGTATACAAATCCCAAATTAGCTCATAGCACATATTACAAAGACCTAAATAAATTTGAATGCAATAATTCCACTTACTCAAGAATTCGGTGCAGAAACATAAGGCCATTATGAGCACAACGCTTCCGCTCAAGCTAAAGGAACAGCGTCCATGTTTCATTTCTAACAGAATACAGACACAATTAAACTTCAGCGCCAGTCATTGAATAATTTCTTTCTCCATTTTACACTAATTTCTGTTTATCAAAACATAACATAAAAAGTAATAACATTAAAACCAGTTACTAAGAGCTCAAACTTACAAGAATCTTCCGTGAAGCGCCGCCATTACACCCCATATCTTTTTCAATATTAACTTCTTTTCATCAACCTGCCTAATAAAGGTCCCTCCCCCTAAGGTTACATTACGTTGCCTTAGTTTGTCGCAATTGGTCAACTTCGTGAGACGGGCAGCTGCTCATTCAATCACATTAAGAGAAAAGAGAAACTTTCCAGTGAGCAGTTCAAGAACAGACAAAATATGGGAATTAACAAACATATCTGAATAAACACTTAAAGGTACCACTTTCAAATGAAACATGTTACATAAGTTTTTTTTCTTTCTTTAAAGAAGAGGGCTACAGATCAAAGGCATAAAACTTGTTTGCTTTCCTGTAAGACGTTCATGGTGTATGCTAAAGTTTTCTCCAATTTTGATGAACACCTTTTATATTCAGTAACAGTTTCAGAAGTATTCTTTCTGGCTGTTCTACACCAATAGAACAAGACTGGATGGATTAAGTATTAGTTTGGTCTAATAGCCATGCTGCTCATTTTGAAACATTCCATGAGAATATTTTCAAGCAGCCAAATGGGCTCTTTGCACCTCAGCTTCCGCGTTCGGGGTAAAGCGGCTCGATTGTTTCCGATCCAATACAAATATCATTTACATTAGGTGCTTGCAGTGCTTGGCCAAGGTTTTTACATCGACCCGAAGCCCCAACAAGTCAGCTGGAGAAAGGTTTTAAGATGTTCGCCTCGTTATACATTCACTGACACGAAGGTGAGTTTTACTTAAACTTTGTGGCTAACGTTAGCTTATGCTAGTAGGCAATATTCTCGGACATTGTTCTTGTAAAATGTGCTATTTAAGTATCTAAACATTCTAACATTGAAAATAAGATGTATTCATCTTATTTTCAAGTATATTATGTGTGTTTATTGTTAGTGTCACAGACTAACGGGGAGGTTACGGTTCGGACTTTTTGCCTGACGGAGCTCAACAAGCCTCATAGCTTGACAGTAGCTATGAGTCTTGTTGAGACCTGGTTCAGCTGTTCAGGTTCAAAGTTGCTGCTTTTAGAAAAATATGTTGCTTCATGTCTCCGTGTTATTTCGTTTT